CTCATCAAAATTTAGGCATTAAAGTTATCTTCACTGCAAATTCGACAATTTAAATTCTGATTGTTCGATTTCATACATATTTTTTTCACATTCAGCTGCACCTGTATTTTTTTTTGTTTGTTTGCAGGTATATAAAACAAATGGAAACGATTCGTTTCGCCGCAACGGCAAAATTTAAAATCCGTTTTTATTGCACGGGAACGGCAGATGGTTTACGCAGAGGAAACAAACAGAGAGAAAAAAAGCTCGGATTTTATCATGCGTGGGCGCGGTTTGAACCTACAATAAATTTCACTTAAAAGCTGTTTATGTTATAACCGAAACCCGATCATCCTCTATTCATTGGGTGCGTCTCATTCATACGGCAAACTATTAAACGTTGTTGTTAATTAGATTCGCTTTTTGCTCATTCTCAAAAAATTTAATAGAATCATCTTCACAGATTATTACACTCCAAATGGTGTAATAAGGTGAGCCAATCTTTGATTCAATTTTCATGCAAAGAAAATGACTTTTTGATGGATGGATTTTAATATTTTTCACGTCGGAGAATTCAATTTCCCTTTCGATCGCCCTATCTGAAACGTCAGTGTTATATATCTGATGAAAGTAGGCGATGAAAATGTGGATGACGATGATGATGAGCATGATTCACTTTCAGCATAATCGACCGTGTTCGCTACTTACTATTAATTGTAATAATGGTAAAGCAACGGTAGAGGTGAACTCTCTCGTTGAACGAGGTGAACGCGTGTTTGGAACAGGGTTGGAAGGTATAAAAAAGCATAAACGAATCATAGTAATGGGCTTCGGGATGTTTATAGACTGCAATTTACAACGTGCTTATTAAGTTTCACGCTCATGACATTGCTAAGCGTTTTATTTTACGACCAAATCACTACATTTTTTTTTTCTCTTACTCATTCTCTCGTATGTAACCACTAGAATTATACAGTTAACTAAATGCAGTTTTTAAAAATATGTGTTCGAACATGAAACTACACATACAAATTACTCATTTAATGGTACAACAGAATAACAATCAGATTAATTGAATCATCAATTAGATAAATGAAATACAATGTCAACGTTTTTCTTGATTACTCGAAAACTAATACATTTCAAATACATATTGAATATAGATATTAAAGAATAAACTATAGAGAATCGAATGAGGTATTAATCAATTTCGTAGTATTAGCAATAATCACGTAATAAGCTTTGAAATTTGAAGAAATTAATTTGATTTGTCTTTACCTTTTACTTAATCACTCGAANNNNAGTAAACTTGGAATACATACTGAATATGGATATTAAAGAATAAACTATAGAGAATCGAAAGAGGTATTAACCAATTTCGTAGTATTAGTAATAATCACGTAATCAGCTTTGAAATTTGAAGAAATTAATTTGATTTGTCTTTACCTTTTATTTAATCATTCGAAAACTAGTAAACTTGGAATACATACTGAATATGGATGTTAAAGAATAAACTATAGAGAATCGAAAGAGGTATTAATCAATTTCCTAGTATTAGCAATAATCACGTAATAAAATTTGAAATTTGAAGAAATTAATTTGATTTGTCTTTACCTTTTACTTAATCACTCGAAAACTAGTAAACTTGGAATACATACTGAATATGGATATTAAAGAATAAACTATAGAGAATCGAATGTGGTATTAATCAATTTCGTAATATTAACGTTTATCGCGTAATAAGCTTCCAATAAAATACTATCAAACGTGTCAAATTACGAATAATTTCCATATAAACAGTGTCACGTTAATAGAGTGAAAAGCAAGAAACAAGAATTGAAGATGGTGCACTTACAAAGGCGGGCGTAATTAGAATCAAACGACCTCTCCTCGCTGCAGGCTCAAAATAAAAACAAACAAACAAAAAATGGAAAGTTTACTAACTTGCACTCCCTCTGTTCAACGCGCTTTCCTACACTTTTTTTTTGTTTGTTAGTTTCTCACGCAGAAATTGACGCGGTAAGCTTGCACGTCGTTCCCTTTTGAGCTTCGCACATTCATTACGTAACCAAAGCACTCTTTTTTTTATTTCTACATTGCGGTACATGAGCAAATAGAGACTTAATTAGGTTTTTTTTTCTTTTAGTTTTTTGTTCCTCTCATTCAGACGAAAAATTGATTTAATGTGAAATAAAACGTAACTTTATTGAGATCTTCCTTTTTTTTCTTCAGCTTTCGTCAGATCTTTGAAGAAAAAAAAAGGAGCTTTCCGAATAAATTTGCATGAGAAAAATGAACATTTCAGTCAATACTTTTTCTTCGCTCTAGTTTCAACCGAATATTCTCAATTCCACAAAAGATACAAATATTTTTACCAATTACAAACACAGCTTATAAAATGAACACCCTGTGTATAAATATATACTTTGCTTTACGTAATTGCATAAAAGCCGGCATTTTGCTCCGTGCCGCGCTTTAATTACATTGCTTTTATGAAAAGCTTGCAGTTTTCACAGTGGACTGTAAGCTAATTTATGAGTGGACTCGGGTAACTTCGACGATAAACAGCCATTACATTTAAAACAAAAATGTACAAAGAACAAATTTAATGAAACTTAAGGCTAAAATGTACAAGCGTACATTATTTGAATCGTACAGCAGCAATACATCGCTTAGTGCCGATAATTAAGGACTATTAGAAACGAGAACTACATTGTTCGATTAAAATTCAGTTTGTTTTGAAATTTTCAAACCGCACTATAATGAATCCATACTACAGTTCGAAGCCGCACTACGCGAGGTATATAGCTGCATATAAATCCATGTAGTTGACATAACAAGATTAGATTAAGGTCGAATGCACATAATGGATTAGAAAGAGTTTGAGCAGTTTTTTTGATTAGAAATGATCGAAAAATCCAGAGATTACTTTCTCCAACTACAGCAAGTATACGTTTTTTTATCAAAAAAAGCTGACTTATCAGTGAAGTTTGTGTCTTAGAAAAATTTGTTCAACAAAATCTTGTTTTTTCTAATAATCTAAAAACTAGCGACATTTAATTAATGAAAACAAATAAAGACATATTTTTTGAATATAAAATAGTTGATTTATTAGTTTAATTACAAAAGAAAAACATTTTACAAGCATTTAACCATTTTCGGGCAGATATATCCGCCCTATTCTTGACACCTGTGCTAAATTGTCTGCAAAGCCACTGTGGTGGCGCAGTCGTCGAATCTTATCTATTATTCAGTTAAAGAAATTTGAACACTAAATCAACGTAATCATTTACAATAATAATGTAATTGAAGAACTTGTGCAATAAGTGCATTCTGTTGCTAAAACAATTAATACTTTATCTAAGAGCGTGTATAAAAACACTATTGTACTCAAGTACAAATAAATATACCGATCGTGCGTTTATAAATTGTATTTTTTTTACTGCTCAATATAAATGAACGAATTCCAAGGTCTTCCGGTGCGCAATTGTAAAGAACGACAAAGCTAAACTGCAAATTGCTAAAACACCGATCAGAGTAGAACGTTGTAGAAACGCAGTAACCCGTACCGAAAATTCTATTACATTTATAGTTGTAGTCCGGTTTATTTCCACGACATTGTTATTTCACTACCTGGAACTGCTACCAACCTCTAATAATAAGGTGGCGTATTGTGAAAATGGGATTTCAAATTGTGGAAACACAACGCAAACGTAGAATTATCGTGAATCATTCAGAACAAAATTCCCAATGAAATATTCAAATAAATCAATAACAAACAACAAAAAAAATCAATAAATTAAATCTACTACTATTAAATCCGTTCATTCATTCTAATTACTCAAAAGTAAATAAAAAACCTCTTCCTGAAAAAGCAAATTTGATTGAATTGTCTTATGAAATCATGTTCTTTTCGTTCGTTTGTTCTTATTTTGATATTGCGATAGTAGTACACGTAGTGTGTTCATGCAGACCGCATTGTCAAGCGCTATGCTAAGCTGCCGGCAAGTGAAACTGGGTCAATCGATCGGATAGATCAAAATGCTCTTTGTATAAGAAGTTTAAGAAACGTTATTATCTATATTCAACAAAATTCATAATATAGACTTGAAAAAATTGTTCAATTTAATTCAATTATTTTATGTTGTCATAGCAACAATAACAAAATGTAATTGTTAACCTCCAGAAACTTTGTTAACCTTTCTTAAAAACTAACAAAGTTTAAACATTTTATAAAATTTTAGTTTAGACGGGAACTGGATTTGTTACGTTTTCTTTTATATACTGTTCGAATCTGTTAAAACTTAATACTCATATTCAAAATAGTAAACTAAGAATGTGGGTAGTATATCTCAAGTCATAGTTAACTGCTTATAAAAGTTAATTAATAGTAGTCGCTTAGATAACCCTTGGTTATTCGGAAGAAATAGTATTTAGATACGAGAATTATTTACTAAGTTCAATAGAAAAACTTTTTTTAGTATATTCAACATGTGAAAATTGTATACACTTAGATTGTAGATATAAGTAAACCATAAAATTTAACGTTAAACTATTAATGAGATGCAACTTGTTAAAATTGTCTTGTTACAACGAATAATACAAGATCTCTATGAATTGTTTTTGATGTTTTCCACATGCATATCTCTTCCGGATGAAATTGTTCCAATTAATGAGATAAACACAGTTAGCGGAGAAGCAGCAGTAGGAAAGAGGTAAGGGGACAAGTAAGTTTTGAATGCATGCGAGAAGGTCCGACGACAATACGTAAAGTTTATCAACATCGGTCGGATTTCCTGTTTCGGTTGAGGAGAGAAGTGCATTATTCCATGTGCATCGAAGCCGACGGTCGCAGATGGCCATTGTAACCAAAAAAAGACGCATTCATCCCCAAAAACAAAACAAACAACAACAATCGCACGCATAGACATCTATGATGTTCGCAGAAAACGCACGTAATTCAAAATAATGTATAAATCTAAAGACTGAAAATGGTACACAAAACACACACACACACTTACGATGTTATTGTTCTGAAGAGATTAATCCAAACAAAAAAAACACGAGAAAATAGAATGTAATGCGAACTGTGGTGTAAATCACAAATTGGTTTCCGGGGGGGGTTGGTAAAAATGCACTGCACACAACAATCACAGGTGATAAAATAATTGAGCACTTGGAAGAATGTTAAGTGGTCTTTCGCACGTTCTCAGTCCATATCGTCTCCTCCATCCATCCAGCACGAACGATGATCGTTTCCTTCTTTTCGTCTTCACTTGCTCGCTTTCGAAATTCCTGTTGCACGGACAACAAACTGCTTATAAACATTAACTAGATGCATGGATGCGTTGCAGATCGATGTGAAGCAGCGCGCTTGCCCGAAGAGCGGCTGACTAGTTACTGAATGTTTTCGACTGTAAACATGGTCGAACACATGCTTCGACCGTTCGGAACGTCTGGCTCCATCTACTACCCACGACTCAAAGAACTCTCGTCAACAGATATTATTATTACGTCCTGCATTCCGTTTCTAACAGAAATTCATCAACGCATTCTTCGCCTCCAATAAAACACAATTTATGTCTCTCCTCATTTGTTCCACAATCTTATATTTCTTCATATCTTATATTCAGACCTTCATGTTTTCCATTGTGTCACCTTTTCTTAAGTTCTCGTTTATTGAATTCTTAAAAATCGTGCCTAAATCAGCTCCTGTTATTAGCAGTACTTTTTTTTGTCAGAAAAAGGTGTTGAAACTGACAACTTGTAAATCTTCTTACTATAAATTGAATTCATTGTATTTAAAGCAAATGTTAACAAGCAGTGGACAGGACAATTCAAGTCCACGCTCAATGACTCGCTTAAAGAGCGCCGTTTCGCATAACGAGTGACGATGATTGCGCACCTGCTACATCCTTTTTAAAACTTGTGTACACATATTATGTGTATTTTTGAATATGTTTCACTATACGAGTAACAATCCAGAAATTTTTGAACGAATTTAAACTCGTTAAGCGAGGTTCCACTGTATTAATAATTACATCCATAATTTATGTATTTCTATTAAATAAATTAAATCCAAAACAATACAAATCTTTATAAAGTTCTTTTGATTTTATCAACGGTAGTTATTTAGTTATCAACACAATTAGTTGATAAGAATTTTTATCAAAGTTGAAACATTATTTGCTATGCTATTGTAGTTGCCTACATATAAAAATTATGTAAAATTTACTTTTATTCAACGACTGATATAAATCTAGTTGCTACTTGTAATATCAAGTCTTCATAATTGGTATTTAGTACTAAACAGTAAATATATTCTTGATAAGAATAAGTTAAGCAAATTGTGCCAACATAAAAATCAGAAACTTCTGCTTCAGCATTATTTACAAAATAATTTCACTTCGTGAATGTTGTTTTCGTCGTAGTTCAGTATAAAAATTTCAAATAAATTAATTAAAAGATAAGATGCAGAAGTACGAGAAATTAGAGAAGATCGGAGAAGGCACGTACGGCACAGTGTTCAAGGCGAAAAATCGAGAGACCCATGAAATAGTAGCCCTGAAGAGAGTGAGGCTGGATGATGATGATGAGGGAGTTCCATCATCAGCCTTAAGGGAGATTTGTCTGCTCAAAGAGTTGAAACATAAAAATATAGTCAGATTGTATGATGTATTGCACAGTGATAAGAAACTCACATTGGTGTTTGAGCATTGCGATCAGGATTTGAAAAAGTATTTCGATAGTTTGAATGGTGATATTGATCCTGATGTAGTGAAATCATTCATGTATCAATTGCTGAGAGGATTGGCCTTCTGTCACAGCCACAATGTGCTGCACCGTGATTTGAAACCGCAGAATTTGTTGATCAATAAGAATGGTGAATTGAAGCTAGCTGATTTTGGTTTGGCTAGGGCTTTTGGGATTCCAGTGAAATGTTATTCAGCTGAGGTGGTTACTCTGTGGTATAGACCTCCGGACGTATTGTTTGGGGCTAAATTGTATACAACATCTATAGATATGTGGTCTGCGGGGTGCATTTTCGCTGAGCTGGCAAATGCGGGAAGACCGCTGTTTCCTGGTTCAGACGTGGATGATCAGTTGAGGAGGATCTTTAAATTGCTGGGTACACCGACTGAGGATACTTGGGCTGGAATATCCGCTTTGCCGGATTACAAACCGTTCCCGTTGTATCAACCAAATATGAGTTGGTCTCAGGTAAATCAGCGCGTGACGTTTGAATTGTGAATGATTTCGTTACCATTTACAGGTTGTGCCTAAGCTGGGGAATCGCGGACGAGATCTGCTTCAGAGACTGCTCCTCTGTAATCCCACGCAGAGGATGTGCTCCGAGGAAGCCATGATCCACGCCTACTTCAGCGACCTCAATTCAGCAATAAAGAATGATAGATGTTAGCAATTAAGGAGGAGGTGCAGCGCCGTGACTATAAGATCGGGGCCCTCTCGCAAAAACTAAAAAGTTCCCAAATAATCTGATCGAGGAGAATTGCGAGAGGGCTTTTGCTACAATTGATATTACATGTGATGTGATATACTTATTCCCAAAGTCGAGAAGACAAAAAAAACAAAAACCATTACGTTTAATAAGTAGTACGACTATGAACTTTACTTTAATAATCTAATATTTATTTCGTTGTTTCGTCATTATCATCAAGGTAATCGTAATCATCCAAATCCTCTTTCCATTGCATCCGCTCCTCGTATAGCTTTCTTCTTAAATTCCATTCCTCTTCCAGGTAGTCCTGCTCAAGTACGTGGTTCTTGTCTGGTCTCATCGCCTTCGACTTTAACAACTGAAATCACGTAGAAATCATAAACATACATCTTTAATCAAACCTAGTTTTTTAAGTATATCTTGGCGAATCGAAAATATTAAGAAATACCAAAATTTTATACAATAGCGTAAAATACTTATTAAGAATTAATGTATTTAGATGAAGAATGTTTCTTTATAAGAAATATATAAAATAGGATACTCTGAATTTTCTATCTTATTCCATTAATTACCTGTCGTTTATTCAGGAAATCCTTGAAAGCCTCCCTCTGCGCTTTCATACTCGGATAAATGATAGGATCTGAGTTTACGGTGCGTTCCAATGCGCATCCGACATCCGGATCCAATCTATGCACGGCGTGTGTTTTTTTCATAGATTTTCTCACCTAAAAACACCAAATTTATATCCAATAATCACGCAAAAAAACGAGTAACTTACACGTTCCATAATATCACCATGATCCAAACCCAAAACATTCTGCGGCATATCGGGAAGAATTTCGTCGCTTTCCTCTTCAATTTCCAAATCCAATTTCTCTATACGCTCCTAAGCATGGATTAAAAGTTTTTTTTTTATATCGCCACAACTTCTGAGTGAATGCTTAATTGTTACCCGAACTGCTGGTTCTAGAGACAGATCCAACTTCAATTCCGTTTTCAACTTAGTCGTGTGGTGAATCGGTTCGTAATCTTCACCGAAATCTGCTTTCGACAAACGTAAATCGAGTTCCGCTAAATTGGTAAACTGTTTATCTGAAATACAATATTTAAATTGGATCATTTACATCTAAAATTCTGTTTAAATAACCTTTAAAAAATTGAATTTTCGGTACTTCTCCCACAATCCTGACCTGCGTTATTTCGTGCCTCAATGCACCTGCATGCTTTTCCAGAATAGCTTCGATATCTTGATCGCTAGTTGTTCCTTTCGCCAGCCAAAAAACGTGTATCATTTGGAAGTCCGGAGTAACGCGGACCTGAAATACAATATCAAAATTTCATGAAACTTCTGAATAAAGTATTGATCTAATCTATTGATTTACCCTGTTAATTTCTATACCGTGGCCTAAGAAGTGTTGCGAGTATTCCCCAGTTGCCATAAGATCGGTAATGTACTTCATAAAGAGTTTATTCAAGACATGGATACGTTTCGAACTTGAAGATTTCTTACCCTCGTTCGCCCCTTTCGTTAAAACGCTTGCTTTCTGTAATAACGGTGCATCATTGGTGAATCTCTTCCTGTAATTACAAATATTTCATTATAAATTCTAACAAATCTTATTAAAATTAAACAATTTCTACAAATATTTTTTTTTTGTATATTTTGGAAACAGATTTATTATTTCACTAAGTTTAATAATCATAGTTGTTTCTTATTTAGAAATATATAAACTATACCAGTGAAAGCGAAAACTAGGGCCCACCAAATATGTTCAATAACATAAAAATTTCATAGAAATTTTGTTTTTATTTTGTTTTGTTTTTTTAACCCAATCCTCAGAATCCTTTTCCAAATGTATTCTGGAGGTAGAAAAAGATGAAGACTGAACTACACTAGTAACACTAATATTTAAGTTTTTTTTTAAAAACATTTTTTTAACAGAAAATATGTATTAAACAAGCAATTTCTTTCACTTACTTTTTCTTATTAGTGTTCATCAATTTCTGCATAATTTTCTCCTGTCCACTCAACGCTGAACTCGTGTTGAATAGACGAAAACTCAACGCACTTATCTTAATTAAACCGCTCAACATTTTTAGCTCACTTTGTTTATATTTTATCAGGTGTTCAAATTTAAGGTTAGAATTTGGTTCTCATTTGAATCATAATAATTTCGAAGTTGGTGATTCTGTATTTTTTTTTAAATATTAAGTTATTATGTAATAATATTATATTAAATAATATGTGTAATTAACTAATTGTAAATAATCAGTAATTAATATATTAAATCAATAATTTAAGATAAAAATCGTGCAATGATCGATTGGTTGCCTATACTAAACTATAATTATTTGCTTGTTTACACATTAACTTCAGTTTATTATAATTTAATAATAGATCTTAGGACACATTAAATGTAATCAATATTTTATAATTTGCTTCATCTATAATTTTTGAATACAAAAACACCTGTAGAAAAGTTTATTTATAATTTATATTTATAATTTGAAATTAAATACTTCAACCACTCCAACAATCAAAACCAAATCATTTCTTGTCAAAATTGTAATTTTTTAGCAGATCAATCGAGTTTTGTTTGTTCAATTAAATAGGTTCATTAAATAAAATATTTGTTTCATCAGCTGAACACGTTAGTATTCTTAAGTTGGTAATCCTTATGTAAAATTTGAAAATAATAGAAATCCAATTGGAAACGAATAACAATTGTTTAACAAGGCTTACTAGATTTGTTAACGCTTTATTTTAGTATTAACACAATTTGTGTAATTAGTTGCGAATTTAGGTAAATGGTTGAGTTATTGAATAATGACGATGCGTTTAGGAATGTTTTAGCTATGGTGATCATAAATAACGAGAGGAAAGAAAGAAAAGAAAAAGTAAGAGAATCCAAATGGAATGTTGTATATGATCCTGGACTCGTTCGTGATTCATAGCTCACGGCTCGGCAAACGGAGGGCACTAGCTAGTAACAAAGCTCATGCGCAAATCGGCCATCGCCGAACAGTTTGTTTATGTCAGTTCTATTTCTGTCTGTGTAACAGCGTATTATCTATTTTATCAATGAGTGAATAAAACAAGCGAGAGACGACGTAAAAAGAAAGGAAGAAGCAATTTCCCGAAAGGAGCAAAGCTGCAGGGAAACACAGACGGAATTTGAACGACGACGGAGAAAGCCTTTAGTAGTCTCTTCAGCTGAGCGACCAGACGAAAGAGAGAGAGAACATATACGCACACACACACACACACGGCTCGTCGTACGGGTGTCAAGAGCGAATCGTCGAATGTTTTGTTGTTGGTCCGATAACGGGGACTCAAATAAAGGTATGTCGACAAAATTTATACTTTTTTTTTCTATTGCTTATTCGTCGAATCGACTACGTTGCTCTATCCACAATCCTTGTTCGTGTGTTTTGTTTTTTTTTTTGTTGGGAAATTTCCCCTGAACGCCGCCATCTTACGTGTGTGCACAGATAGAGTAGATCCATATAGAAAGAGAAACACAGAGAGAGCATTGTTGCCAGAATATTATTATTATTTATTTAGAGGGGACATCGTTTTTAATCCGATTCTCCTCCTCTCAATACGCTTCCAGAAGAAGAAGAAGAAGGAAGAGAAGGCTCTCTTCCTCTCCACTTGATTCGCAAGGTTGTGTAATATATTTGCTGCAAATTTCTGTTATGTGTGCTGTGCTCGTTTCGCTTGGATATAGTCATCTAGGGCAGCAGAGGGCTGCAGTAGTCTAATTAGGGCGTTTCCTCGTTTTGTTTATTCGGTAAGGATAACCATTCTTCAAATCCAATTCGATTTACATCAAAGTCGAGGCCCTCTCTATTTTTTTTTCCTTCCTTCCACTCCCTTGTTTACTATTTTATTGTGGAAATTGGGTGCGATTGGCATAAGCTTTGTGTGTGTGTGTGTGTCGGCTTTTGGGAGTGATTTGCATTAGTTTACTTCGTGTGAGCGAGATGGAGCTATTCGGGGTGTAGTATATGCATCCGTGCGAGTGTATGTGTCGGACAGTGTTGCGGTTTGAGGATGAGGCAACTCTGATTATGTACGTTTTTTTTTTGGTTCAGCGTGAAGTTGATTGCTGATTATATATATATATATATATATATGCACACACAGTTTAACCCACCAGAATTACAAAGCTAAAATTTCAGTACGTTTTGTTTTCATCGAATCTACAAATATTCAGTCGACTTTGATGCAACAAGTACACCATGACATACCTTCTATTTTTATCCATATTTTTCTATGTTATGTTTTGTTGACGATGTTTTTTGTTTTATGGAAGCTAATCATAAATATTGAAATAAGTGTTTACAATTAGATTAGATTCAAAATTAATCACTTTAAATATCCTTAAATTAATCTACCGATTACTTAATTTTTATGAAATTTAGTCGTATTTGGTTAACCATGTACAAAACAAAGTTACTTTTGCAAGTATCAAGTACTTGTAGCTTATTTCACAAGTATTTATATAAGTTGTACCTGAAATTTAAGTACAAATATATACAAAGAATATAAGATAAAACAATTCTATGCCGATTTCTGTATTTAAAATTTTGCATCATAAGCTCAGAAAATTACATTACATTAGTCGACATTATAGAAGTTCAAAGAAATAAGTATAGTGGAATTATTCAACTAATTTTCTTTTCAAAATTAAAGTTTAAATATTATAAATTTAAAATAAAAGTATGTTACGTTACGTTAAATATATTACTTACTCTTTTTATTTTACGACTTGAAAATTTGTTTATTAAGAGATTAATTATGTTTAGCTGTGAATTGAACATACATTTGTATCGATTATTAAATTAAGTAAATTTAAGTAAGTTTGTAGTAAATAAGGCAAGTTTCGTCAAAAAATCCAATAAGAATTTTTCTTTTACAACGACGCAATTGGATAGAAATTGAACTATATAAGATTCAAAGAGAAATGTTAATATTTTGAACTATGTTTCAATTATCGATAATTAAGTAAATTTGCTAATAATGACAAGAATCTCAAGATTTATTAATTGAGAAGTTTAGGACACGGATTAAGAACTAACGACAGTTTAAAAAAATAATTGTGAAATTATTAATCGAAATACGTTTTTTATTTAAAAGTTGATGCATTTTCTTAAGATGTTTCAATATAAGTAAACTTTAATGACGTCAGAGAAATGACATCACCCTCTTTGGGTGGGGTCTGCGAAATCACAACAAAATCGCTTCTTGCAAATTGCGAAATATCTTTTTCTTGTCCATTATTTTATATAATCTATACACTTAATATAATAAAATTTCGCAAACTGTATTTGCTCAATTATGTTTTAGACAATGATATAGTTAGTTATCTGACTAATTGCAACGATTTTTGTTGAGCGAACTGAATGTTTTGCGAGATTAAATAAATGTTTTTTCCTGTATAAACATTTGCGGAGTTTACAGAGAGATTCGCGGAACATTGACGAGACTAGTCGGAAGTATTTCTAGAAAACAATATTTCTAGAAAACCGTATTACTATAAACTCTAAATATAATATAGTCGATTCACGCAGTAAACATTAATTAGCTTCGAAATATAATTGACTGTATTTTTACAGTTATAGATTCGAATCGTTCCAAGATAAAAGTAATAAAAAAACGTTAAAGTTGGATAAATCTTATAATTAATTAGTTTTATGTGTTGCAAATAATACTTGTTTTTATTGTTGATTAATAAATTTTAAACTTTTTTTGGATAAAATTCAACTTGAAACTGTTGAAAAATAAACTTGTATATTTTGAGAAATATTTATTTATTGTTGCAATTATTTAGTATTATTAATTAATGCAAAAAAAAAAGATAAGATAAACATTCTGTTTAGACTAGAAAGTTTTGATTGCAAAATCAATTACCTAATATTAATTGATATAAAAAATTATATTATATTTAAAATTACTTAAGTATAAAGAAATCTGATCTAAAGTGTAACACAGGTTTTTACAGAAATGTGTGCTTAATTAATATGATCAAATTAACTATTGTCGTCTTTTGTTTTCTAATCCTATATATGTCAATTTGACACTTTATTTCATATTAAACACAAAAATCAAGAGATTGTTTTTAAAACAGAACAAAGTTAAGAAACTATTACAAAAGTAATATGCAGCAGTATGAATGCGACCACGCGAAGTGTCTGAGAAAAAAATGCCGACTAAGTATTGAAGAAGAAAAAAATGCCGATTAATTAACAAAAGATAAATCGAAAATATGTTGCGAACCAAATAAAATGCATGCATTTTCTTTCATTTAAGTGTTAGGTCACATATTCATCAAATAAATAAAAAAAAATAAGTATAGTCTAAACGTTAGAAAGTTACTTTGTAATTAATATAAATCTTATTCGATAAATCAAATAAGCTTGGTGTAGAAATATGACAGTACGTTATAGGTTAAGTAACGTTTTGAATTAATAAACTTGTTAATTTAAAATTGAATTTGAATGAACTGATGTACTTGACTTGCATTCATTATTAGTAATATATAATTATAAAAATTAAAAAAAAAACTAATTGAATTTTCAATGTAAATGTATTTTATAATTATTAATGTTGGTAGGAATGTTTATAGTTATAAATAAGGAAGGTGTCATGTTGAAATTGAATGGGGATGAGGAGGATAAACTGTTGGAATTGGTAGATGTAAATAATGTGAATGTGGTTATTGGAATTTTGAGCTGTGTGAATCGGTTATGTCATGAATGCGAGTGTGTGTGGCTTCTGTTGATATGTTCATGGCATCGAATTGGCAACAGCGCGCGCTACCAGATTGGTAGGTAGACCTATATGTATGTAGTTGGAGCAGGCACAGAAAGAGGGGAACGTTAGTAGATAGGAAGAGAGAGAGTGGAGGAGATCGTCCGTCCGTCCGTCTGTCTGAGAGAAGAGAAAGAGATTGTGTCTGTGTGTGTGGTTTAATAGGCGTTGACGTTGTTCGTGTGTTTTGGCAGGTCCGATGGCTACGATCCGTAAAAAATTGGTGATCGTCGGCGATGGTGCGTGCGGAAAGACTTGTTTGTTGATCGTGTTCAGTAAGGATCAGTTCCCCGAGGTTTACGTGCCGACCGTATTCGAGAACTATGTGGCCGACATCGAGGTGGACGGCAAGCAAGTGGAGTTGGCCCTCTGGGATACTGCGGGCCAAGAGGACTACGACCGTCTGAGACCGCTGTCCTATCCAGATACCGACGTGATCCTGATGTGCTTCTCGGTGGATTCGCCCGACTCCCTCGAGAACATCCCCGAGAAGTGGACTCCGGAGGTGAAGCACTTCTGCCCGAACGTGCCCATCATTCTTGTGGGCAACAAAAAGGATCTCCGCAACGACCCGGTCACCATCAAGGAGCTGAACAAGATGAAGCAGGAACCGGTGAAACCGCAGGATGGTCGCTCCATGGCCGAGAAGATAAACGCTTTCGCCTACTTGGAGTGCTCTGCCAAGAGCAAGGAGGGTGTTCGTGAGGTCTTCGAAACTGCCACCCGTGCAGCTCTGCAGGTTAAAAAGAAGAAGAGGCGTGCATGTGTCTTATTCTGAGCTAACGCACCTTATATTATATACATCTATATATATATATATATTTTATATTATCCTTATCATTACTGTGTGTTTTACGGGGTCTTCAAGAAACAAACAAACAAAAAACCAGTTAAAAAAAAAACTAAAAAAAAATAAAGTTGTAGAGCTAACATAAAAATAATAAACCCCACCAATTTCAAATTATTTTCGCTTGTTTTCCCCCATATTTCCTCTACTTCAGTTTTAAGTGGACATCCATTGTTCAACTAATCATATATATATATACACCCGAAACATATTCACAATGATTACTTGAACAATCTTCGAAAACAAACATAAACCAAACAAGTGTTCTATCACAACTTATTTATTGTTATAACTGCACCAAACAAAAAAATAAATATATATAAAAATGTGATTTTTTCCAAGGATGCAATAGAGAATTGGATTGGAATTGAATCCCTCCCAACATTTTCATACTACTATAAGAGATTAAAATAAAAATAAAAACTTGTTAATTAATTGATAATGTGTCAGTGACTTTTGTAAATAAAATATTCGAAATTAGTTGATACAAAAGAAAAGATAAACTAGTAACATTTATAAGAAAACCATTTTTATTGCATCCATTCCAAGAAACGCAATCATCGTGTCACCTCTTGACAGTGATGATACAAAAAAAAAATAGTTTTCTTTACCACTTTTTTTTTAATTCTCAGAGACATTGATGATGACTAAGACCTCTCAAGGTTTCGCAATTTCTTATTCATATTTACGTAATTGTATTATTATTATTGTAACAAGCACAAAGCTATGTATTAATCAACTGATGTCCACTTGCTACATTTTTTTCTATTTTGTTAAGTTCACTAATCCTATGATTATGTTATTATTATTATTATTATTATTATGTAGAGTAAAAGATTTATTAAGGCCCTTTTTTTTCTATTACTATTTCTCTTTGGTTTATTATTATGAATTGTTTATTATTAATATAATCTGGATGGTGCATGAAACGTGTGATTTTTATCTCGCTTGAGGTGAAATCTAATATGTAACGATTTGTTCATCTTTAACAAACAAAAAAATATTTAAGATTTATTATAAACTGTAGACAACTCTTCTAGTTTAAGTGTATCGCGAGTTGCCTACAATTGATGTAATAGCTTTAACTTTTCCATTGAAAATAAAAATAAATTAATCATGTATCCTAAAGATGAATAAAACAATTTTCTTATCTATATATATATATATACATAAAATGTATTCTATTATCAATTATGTATATTTATTATTTTTTTTTGTCTTATAAGAAACATATTGACCCTTTAAAAAAATCTTGAATATATTAATTTAATTAATTTTAATACAACAAAGAAAAAACTTTTTACTTGGAATATATGCAAAGAAAAAAGGTTAATTTATGCTTCAACATTGGATGTTAATTATTTTTCAGAAATAAATTATCAATAAACAATTATTGCTTATTTTTTGACTTTATTTTTTGTACCTGGAGATTCACTTGTTATCATTTTCCGACATTCTTATAAGCTAAGACCGTAAGCATACTATCTACGAATTGATAGTTTTACTTAAGTAAACTTATTTAAGTCATTCTTGCGCATTAAGCTTTAATAGTGATGTTCATTATTTTGACGTTGACGATTTCTTTGTTCACAATCAAAGACAATTCAACTTGAGTTGTTAAAGTTTAACAATACACTTAGGATTTATCTTTCAATAACGATTCTTGCAGATTTTCTAAATTAAAGTAAACAATAGAGTATACAGATTCACTATTATTATTTTCATACATTCTAATAAGCTTAACGTTTTGTTGTATTCTCTCTACACGTTAACAATCGTACTTAAGTAATCTTGTTTAAGTCATTCTTGTGCATCAAAATATGAAAAATTTGTAAGTGACGTTTATCATTTTGACGTTTTCTTCGAAAACAAACTAAATCATGACAAAGAGGCTCAGAGATTATCTTCAGATATTCTTATAAACTTAACGTCTTATTGCCTTCTATCTTAACGTTCACAGTTGTACTCAAGTAATCTTATTTAAGTCATTTTTGCGCATTACAATATTAAAACATTTCATAAGTGACGTTTTCTTCGAAAACAAACTAAATCGTTGCATCTTTCAAAACTTCAGAGATAATTATGTTCACAATCAAAGACAATTCAACTTGAGTTGTTAAGGTTTAACACTATACTTAGGATATATCTTTCAAACTGATTCTCTAAATTACTGTTTGAAGTAAACAATAGAGTATAGTAATAGATTCACTTATTATTATTTTCAGACATTCTTATAAGCTTAACGTTTTCTTGTATTCTATCTGCACGTTAACAGTCGTACTTAAGTAATGTTGTTTAAGTCATTCTTGTGCATTAAAATATGAAAACTTTGCAAGTGACGTTTATCATTTTAACGTTAACGTTTTCTTCGAAAACAAACTAAATCATTGCAAAGAGTCTCAGAGATTATCTTCAGACATTCTTAAAAACTTAACGTCTTATTGCCTTCTATCTTTACCTTCACAGTTGTACTCAAGTAATCTTATTTAAGTTATTTTTGCGGATTACAATATTAAAACTTTTCATAAGTGACGTTTTCTTCGAAAACAAACTAAATCGTTGCATCTTTCAAAACTTCAGAGATAATTATGTTCAGAATCAAAGGCAATTCAAATTGAAGTATATAACAATCCACTCAGGATCTATCTTGCAGATTCACTAAATTACTAATTGAAGTCAACAATAGGGTATATAATATCGATCTAAAATTCGCTTGAATTGTGTCCATAGCAAGTAAATGATAAATATTTGGTAATATTTGTCAAAGAGTGTAAGGAAATCAATTAAAGTGTAATTTATTTTTCATAATTTTATTAAATAAATAAGTATTTTTTAAAAGGTTTATAGTAGAATAGAGGAAATCATATGATATCTTCTAGATTGACCCGTTTACGCTTCTTATGATTTGTTACCATGTTGGCGGCTTCTAATTGCATTCCGGTCTGAATGAGCCAATTATTCAATTTCGTGCGCGCCTTGTGTCCCTCGAAGAACAGACCGCGTTCCAGCATATCCAGTCCATCGTTAATCAGCGGATCTAAGCCCATGTTGTCCGCCAAATCCATGATCTTCCTGAATCTGGTGATGAAAGTCTATCAAAACAAAACAATTAACAGAGCTGTTAGTATGAGGGCCGTGTCCAATTTACGTAGATTAAAGTCGTTGCGACGTCGCCTCGGATGTCGAATGATTTCGCATACAAGCCGAACTCGTAAAAGTACAAATTGAACTTGTGCAGATCGACGGCGACCGGATCTGCCTTCAGGATTTCCCTGTACGGTTCCGTGTAGATTCTCGGAAGATCCGCAGCAATGATTGCGTGTCTACCGGAGCTTAACGGTTGCACCAACCATATGGGCAGTTCCAAAGAAGTACCCGCAGCTAGATCGTCATCTTCGGACGCAGGATTCAATTTACCTGCAACGAAAATGGTAAAAAAAATGCATTCAAATATTTTATACTAATGTTCTTCACCTAGTTTTGGCACGTTCGTGAGAAATTTACAGGGCGTCCTCTCCTGAGACGCGAGGATATCGTCGATCGAGAAATAATTCGGTGAGTATGAGAGTACCAAAGACATTTTTAAACTTGTTTCTTAAATAAATAAATAATACTTAACGGTTTCAGTAGTTACACATAACCTAGAATATAAACGGAATATTTGGTTGCCTATTAATAAAAAAAACATCTCAAAGCCTTTTTACGTAAAAATCTCTATATACAGAAATAAAATGTTTTATATTTTAACATATTAATGGAGATTTTTGCAGTATCATCAATTTTAATCCTACTTAAGTCAATCCTTATTTAAGTTGTATTTGAAATATATAGACATTAAGGTTTGAAATTTAAGTAAACGTCAAAAAGAAGCAACTACTAGATGCAAAATAATTATTTGAAATTATTTGGACTACAATTGATGAACTTTTCAATATTCATTTGATGAATGATTAATTATTGTTATTATGAAACAAAAGTACTAATATTCATTTCATTTAATGTAATTCTAGATTCAATGAAACATTCACTTTCAAAGTGCTTGGCTTTAATGAACGCAAACGGATATGAAACGCGAAGGATTGTGGTGTATAGACTCAGGGCCGGAAAGAGCTATTTCGGTCTCGCCTTTCCGGAAACAGCATTATAAAATGGACACGAAAGCCATTAATAACGTCCAATTATACCGTAACTAACAGTACATAATTTTATTTCATATTATGTACAACATTAATTTATGCAATCTATTCAAAAGTGTATTGATTGTACATTTATTTGTCAAAATTTGTTTTCTTCAATTGTTTTATCATAAGTAACATGCGGTTAAAACAAAACAAAATATGTAGATACTCACTTGATTATTATTCAACCCTGGTAATTGCACTAGCAGTTGTTTATGGAAGAAAAAAAAAACGAAAATAGTTGTCGATATTATGTATGTAAGTAATCAATATTATGAAAGATCAAAGAGTCTTGAAATGATATATTTAGACCCAAAGGCGAACGCAACATCGGATTTGCACTTGTTTAAAAAGAAAATAATAATAGAAGGCTGTTGGAAAACATTGGAAATATACTGTTAGATTAAATTTGAGACTGAAATAGTTTTTTTAAACGTTTATTATCGAAATAAAATTAAATAATTAATAAAAATCATATTGCCACTGCCAGCCTTTGGTCTACTAAAATAATATATAATTTAATATAGTTATAATATTACAAGAATTTGCATTGAAATGGCATTTTGATATATCTTTTTAGATGTAGAGTCAACAGAGAAGCTGCGAATTTAAATTTTTAAATAATTAAAATAAGAACAAATAATAATAATAATAGAAATATAATAATAATAACATATATAGATAACAAGAAAATAATAAAATTATGATGATAATAATTATAATTTATATATATATATATAATAAAAAAAAGAGGAAGAACTAAATTGACAGGTAACAATATGCACCAATTTATAATAATAATTAACAATTAAACCTATCCGACTAATATATATACAGTGGAACCACGCTTAACGAGTTTAATCCAGATTTTTACTCGCATAGTGAAACAATTTTCCCCATATAAATGTAATATACAATTTATTTTGCTCGTTATGCGAGGTTCCACTGTATATGCATTATATAAACAATATCAATCTTAGAAGAGAGAGAAAAATAATGAATAAAACTATAAACCTAAGTAACAAATAACAGGTTAAAAAAATACCCTACAAATTATTTTTTTTTGTATCTTTGAGCAAAAGCGGTTCAATATTGTTTCAATACAATAAATTATATACATACACCACTTATCAATTACCAACAAAAAAAAAACGTATAACGTAATAACTATTAATTATTAGCTTAATTATAATAAAATAAAATAAAAGAGAACTAGTCGTAAAATGATAAAAATGATAGGCTTTTGTTTTTGATTGATTTTGTTTCACAGCGGGCAAGATTTTTTTTGTTTTGTTTCGCTTGGATCGATACGTCCCTTGTTCAGGTCACTTCATTCCTTAAATAAAGCAAATCTATTAAAAGAAGGTATCGATCGAATTTCTTTTTTATTTTGTTGTTGTTTTTCTATGTGCGACAAGCGCTTATTTTTAGGCGTATATAAAAAAATATATCTATATTTTTTTTTGTCTCTTCGCTTTGATTTAATTGAGCAACGTTCACAGCCCAGGAGAATTAGGCACTAGTATAGTTTTGTTTTTGATTTTCTTTTGTTTTATATGGCACCAACTGGATTACTGGCAAATGTTTTGTTTTACGTGGTTGCGCATCATCATGATCAGAAGGGGTCCACTTCGACGTTCGGTTCCTGTTTGAAGGCGATCCTGAAGGCGTCATCTTCCATCGGCGAGATGTCGTTCATGATGAGGATGTTCGGGTTTCCGTTGGACGGTGGACTGGCGATGTTGCCGTTGATCAGGTGATCGCTGGGGCTGTGACATTGCGTCGTCGCCGGCGACGTGATCGGACTGTCCGCCGAATCGCTGGTGCTCTGGTAACTGTGGGCCGTGTTAACGGCGGCGGCTGCTGCGGCGGCGACCATCGTCGGCTGGTTGTTCTCTACGCTCGCACCTAGAATAGAGTCTACATTTATTTTTTAGAACGGTCTGTCCGCAACACGTAAATTACTTTCAGGGGGTTTTATGTACACACGGAAACAGGAATTACACACTAATTCTACGAGCTTTTTGTTTGATCAGAGAAACTGTTTACCTCCTAGTAGCATTTCTTGCAGAAGGCTGTCGATGTGCGCCACCCCGAAGAGTTTCGCGAATTGGATCTGTTCGATCATTTGCCAGGTGATCGACTGGAGGGCGGGCAGCGTGAGCAGCAGCTCCCCGAATCTACCTCTGCTGTCGTACTGACGATCGCTGATGTAGTCCTCCAGGTTAATCTGGATCTGATATCTGAGCGCCTTTATCCTGTTCGGCTCACTCAAACCCTTCGCATCTGCAATTGAGAAGGCGATCATTGTACAATCTGCATCTTTCTCCATTATCACCACCACTTACTGGGATCAAAGAAAACTATGGCCTTCAAACAGGCGAACTCGGTGTCGTCCACTTGCACCTCGGTCATTGGCTTCACCAATTCATCCATGATCCGGCTTCCCACACGCGATATATCCAGATCGGGAGAGATGCGAGAGTCTGCTAACACCACAACTGCATTGGACAATGCCCAAACAACAAATAGAATACAATTACATGTCCGTACAAGATTTTTTTAATTTAAATTTTAAATTCAACAATCTATTGGTGCTTCTATACTAACAATTTAAAAATTGCAATTGAATTTGGTATTATTTTCAACGTACAGTATTCAATTATCGGTTTTACCGGTATATTTTGATAAGAAATACCCGAAACTTCGGTAATGTGTTTTTTTTTATTCGAAAATTGAAAGTAACTTGAAATTTCTTTCGTTCTTCAATAGTACGTCAAAAATGAATTTGAGAAGGAAATATTTTTGGCTGCAGAAGCTTTAACTGCACTTGATTCTACAATACTTAATGCCGATGTTAACCATAAATTTATAATTGATAAATTGTCTGCGCAAAATTCTACTATAAACAGGGAATTAGAATTAATTTTACTTATTTCAAATCTGAGTGATTTAGATACGATTTGACTACAGCGAGCACATTTTAATTTTGGATTTCAATGAATTTTGCTTTTTGTTTATTAAGTAAAAGTGTATATTTTTATTGTTTTTTTTATTGTCACACAAAATATTCAATTTCATTTTTTTTTACCGATAATTAATTAACCGGTTGTTACTAAAAATATTTACCGGTAAAACAAAAATAACGGTAATTGTGAATACCCTAATTATACTGCATTTCTTATTGAATCAAATAGGAATATGTAAGAACCAGGAACATTTCTATCGGCAATTATTCATATATGTGAACCAAAATGAGTTATAAAATGCAACTCTTCAAATAACAAACAATAATTAAATATAATAATACCACTTGTTAAACCAATTAGTTTCTTCTGTTTTTTTTTATATTTCTAAATTGGAAACAGGAATAATTATTGGAAGATTGGAAATAATGACTGCATTTACCAGCAAGGTAAATTGAATGTGCGATCTAATAGAATAAATGTAAATAACGACAGAACACAAATAAATTCAAATTAAGAAAAAAAAAACACATAATGTTGTGATTAATAATGTTACTCAGAACAAAATGAAACAGAATTAAAAACACACATTCACACACATAAATTGTTATTAGTACATAGATTATTTGTGATGCAGATGATTCACATGTGTATTTGTGTAAACTATAAATTTTCCATTTTTTTTTCCTGCTTCCAATTGAGAGTCTAAACTGTTTGTTTATATTATGATTGCTTTAAACCCATGCAAAGAGGGCGACTGAACATAGAATGAATCCCCAAAAAATAATTTTCGTTTGCTATTTTTTGTTTTGTTTTTGTATAGTCATGCAGCCCAATTGATAGTTGTTTTCTATTTGTTTGCTTTTAATGATATATTTTTTTTTTCGACTAGATGTACGGACATGCATATTGCAACTATAAACTAAACTATAAACTAAACTAGGAACGAAATGAAATCGTCGCATGCAATAAAAAGAAAGGGAATTTTGGGGGATGGGTAATGAGACTCGTACCTGGACTGTGTTTTGTGATGATGCAGTTGTTTCCCAAAAGAAGAATATCTTTTAAGTGCATGGATCTGCGCGCCAGACCTAACAGTAGATGTTCTCCGGCGTGCGCCCTCAATAACGCCACCTAAAAAAAATAGAGTATTTAACAATTATATACAATTTAAAAAAGCAAATGAATCAGTTTAATTGAGTGGATTCGCTGATTTACCTGATCGTCAAGTTGCAATTCCGTGAAGGCCGGTATGTACTTGGCCCACTCTACCAAAATCAGCAGCTGCTGCTTCATCGACTCGCAGACATCGTTGATGTTCGCCAACTGCTTGTTGGATAAATCGTAATCGTTTCCAGGAGTCTGACCCATTTGCTGCAACAACAACAACATTGACAAATTAATCGTTAAAGCTTTAGCGAGATCTTCAAACACCTATGATTCAACTTTGGTGTCTATATATAAATATATAGTCTAAATCAGTTTTTCTCAACCTACAGGTCATGAAATGACAACTGTCACATTGACGCTTCAAACAAAATATCACCTTGCATCGAAAAGCATCAAACAAAATTGCGTTATAAACAATCGAAATGTGACTTTTCGTTTAAAACGTCAAACAAAATTGTGACATTATTTAGGTTACAAACAGTTGGCAAAAATGTTGTGAAAAACTGTTTTTCTCAACAAATTTCCGTTAAAATTGAATATTTCACAATAGTTATAAATATTCTGTGATTTAAGTGCACAACTATATAATTGACATGTTTGTAAAATTATCATAAATAAAGTACGCCGTACAAGGCCGAATGACCTGTACAGTTTTTGTATGAAATACATCGAAAAAAAAAACACTTGTAATCAAATTTCTTGAATAAATCAAATGAAATTTCATGAGAGTTTCCGTTTCCCTCAAAATCAAAGAGTTACTGATAATAATTTTAATATAATTTAGTGTGTTCGAAATTGGAAATTGTGAACCGATAAAATGGAACTGCTAATGAAAGACTTTAACATTTGATTTGATAATAAAACGATACTAAGTGAATTAGCAGTAGTATCTTAAGTTAAGCGCAACCGAATCTATCGAGAGACAATTCTATTTGACGAAACGGAAAACTTCCCTGAATAACAACAAAGAGTATAACAACAAATTCAAGTTAATTAATTTCTTGTGTTGAAACGAGGCAATAAATGTTTATTTGTACATGCTAATGACAAAATAATGTTAATTGCGAGACAGACATCGAGTTGAAGACGCAAAGTGAAGAAAACATAATTTAATGACGTGAAACGAGTGTCGCGCGTGGATATAGAAATTTTGATTTGGGTCATATAAAAAAAATCGTTAGGAAATCCTGATTTTAGAAATCAATGTTAGATAAGTGATTATGTTCTCTGTATAAGTGCACTTCAATTAACAATAAATTCATCGAATTGAGTGTTTTCTTTATTACTTTATATATGTCGCAGGTTTGATCTTCAGTTGGAAAATAGCTTTAATTTAATTTTTCATTGTATTTAGATAGAATGTTCACTATATTTACATATATTTGAGCACACATAAATCTAGAGACTTAAGTGAAAAAAGTTATTTGATTGAAACATTAAAAAAATCGTTAGTGTGTGGCTAAGACACAACGAATCATAGCTGTTTTGAACGTTTAACCAATCCTTATTGGGCCACAAAAAAAAGAGTGAGTTTCGAAGAGTAGATAAGAAAATTCTATTGGTTCTTTCGTTCAGGACGGCCCGCAAAAACCATTGGTGGCTCATCACTAAAATTATTTTTTGGTCAACGATAAAATCTTCGTTTTATTCAAATTTAACCAATCGACAAATGCGTACGGAAATCAGGGCGTTTCGTTGCAAATATATTGAGAAGAATCTAATTTATTTTTGAAGAGAAAGATTGACATAGTTAACGATGTTTGTATAGAAAAAAAATTGCTTGGATTGGTAACATAAATATTGAAATCTTTATTGAAAAGAGATGATTTCACCTAATAGTTAAACAACGTTTATAGAAGAAATTTATGTTACTTTTGTTATTAGTAATCAAAATAAATATTCGGGAATTCTAGTTGAAAAGAGACGATTCTGTTGAACAATTTTTGGTAGAGACAAACAATGCGAAAATTCTGATATATTAACTTTATGTTATGTTATGTTCGCCCTGAAGTAGACCAATCTTTTGACTTGTGAAAAATTCTGAAATATTAAGTGCGTCGGAAACTGAAAAAGTTTGGGAACCGCTGATGTAAAGTGTGGCTTACCTCCAGTGCGGCTCCAACCTGTCTGGAAAGCATCTCTGCGTTGAGCAGCGAACTGACGGATAAACCATTTCCTTGCGTGCTCTCCTCGTAGCTCGGCCTTCTGCAGCTGATCCGATCTCTCTCATTCTGCACAGCTGCAAGCGCGCATTAGAAAACGTTCAAACTGATGCACTCGCAACAATCTCTTACCTTCTTTCTTCATGCCGGCTTTGAAGCACTTGCGTAATCGACAGTACCTGCATTGATTCCTCTTATCTTTGTCCACGATGCAATTCCTGCTGAACCTTCGAACACACATAATACAATCAAATTTTAATCTAATAACGGAATATTTCATCGAGATTAGTCGATGAATAACATAAAAAAAAGTACTAGTTTAAAAGAGCGAATGATACATTGACGTAGGTCGTTATGGGTTCCAACGTCCACAAAATTTGTTAGCAACAGATAAGTACGAGTTGTCGTAGGTCATATATGTATTTCACATAACTAACCTGCATGTGTACAAATGGTTTTTCCGGACGGATCGCCGGAAGAAACCCTTGCAACCGTCGCAGGAGGCGGCTCCGTAGTGTTTTCCTGTCGCCCTGTCCCCACAGATGGCGCAATGTTGGCTCAGGGCCGGAGGCGACGTCACGTTTCCTGCGGTCAGGGAGGCGGTCAGAGTCGTGTTTCCCGCCATCGTCATTTCTGAATCTACTGCAAAAAAAAATTAAAAAAAAATCAATCTAAAGATGTTTCGGTCTTCATCTGCAATGGAATTTTGTACGAAATATCTTTTAACAACATATTTGATCAACTAATCTAATATCACTTCAACCAATATTAAATCAATGATAACAATATCAATGAATTTGTTCAAGATTGCATAGAAAGTCATTAAACAGAATTTCTTTCAAATAAACCTGCATAATTATCTACGAAACGATAATAATCGAACTTGTATTGATCAAATATGTTTAATAATCTAACAGTTTCATTTGCATAAACGCTGCGGTGTTTCCATATTTAAACTTCTACGAATCCGCAAAAACTAAGATAATTGTTATACAATAACTGGTGTAAACCCTGTTCACGGAATTGAAAGAAAACAGTTAATTGTGAATGGTAATCTACAAAGGAAAGATCAATGAAAATGGATTCATTCATCGGAGTAAATGGGTAAAGTTGTTCAGGAATCGCGCGAATCCATAAAGACAATAATGGAGGAGAGTGAATTGCAGCCTTTAGGTGCGTGTTTCCACTTCGCATTTCTAATGGTTATTTCACATGTGTGCATGAGTCCTTGATCGCGACGAATACGCTCAAATTACATATCCATCAAGTACAATAATTCAGCTGGCAAGGACACAACTCCGCTCCAAACTATCCAACTCCCGAAGTAATACTTTTTTTTTGTTAAGGAAAGTTACCAGTTATTCGAAGTTTTTGGTATCTATCCAAGTGGAGGCAACAACAATAATAATAAATTGTCTGCTCGACGACATTCCAATATTTGTCAACGTTGCCCATAATTCCGAAAAGAAAAAAAAAAGGATCCGCGCCTGCTTGCATGCACGCATGCATTGGCCGCGTGAACAACTGACCGTCGATGTTTAACAAAAATTAAATATGTAAGAAAAAGAGAGAGAGAGAGAGAGAAAGAAAGAAAGGACGAAGAGAACGAGTAGGAAAAGGAATGTGTGTATTTGGATAGAATCACCAGTGTCAATATTTGACAGCAATTAGTTTCACGAGAAGCGGCCCCGATAATTTGTTTTCTTTTTCCTTCAAAGAATCGGTATTATTACCATTGTCATAATCATAATCTGCTCAAGAAGCAGTCATAAATATTTGGACAACGTTTCAGCCAAAAAAAAAATTAACATGAGGAGTACAATGTTTGCATTTCTCTAGACGCACGTCCAACGCCAATGTTTGAACATTAACATTCAACGACAATATTATTGTGTCTATTTTCCCAAATGACAAGCTCTCATCTAAATCCTGAAGATATAACATGTTGCTATGCAACTACCGATTATATCGATAAATGTCATTGTGTATTCCCACTTCGATAAAAACTGATTTCAACTGTTATGTATTTCTAAATATATGGAAGAGCTACAGTCTATTGTTCATGTATTTTATTTGTTTCTTGCAAAAAATGTAGTGACAGCTGTCACGTTCTGTCAAATACTCTTAGCAATTGGGTTGCTCTGCAACTACAAATAATTATGTTGAGTCGCGAAATGACAGCTGTCATGTTGTGTCTGTTAAAAACTGTTACGTGATTGGCTCGTTGTTCAAGCAAATATGTTGTGTCGGGAAATGACAGCTATCAGCTAGTGTCAGATCGTCGTTTTCTTTTTGTATATTATAAACTTTTGGGTCGCAGTACAACTACAAAACAAATATGTTGGGTGGCGTGCATAGAAGGTTGAGAAACGCTGCTATGTGTTTTATAGAAATGCGTTCTTCTTGTAAAATTGGGCTATCCGCAACGAAATAGGTCAATTTTTCGATGCGAGTCTTCGATTCGGAAATGTGGAAACGTCTGATCCTTTCATCGAGAATAGTTGAATAATCTGACGAATATAAAAACATAATGTAATCTAGTATGCTCTGCGATAAGGATTTTGTTTACATGAAATGTGAATCTCGAGCGTTGGCCTTTTTTTTTCATCTTTAAATATCAAATAAAAATCCAGCTGAATTAAGCGAAGATAATTACAATTTGTTAACAGATTTAGAATAGACTGAAACGATTTGCCAGAATTACATTATTTGTTCAGATTCATGCAACTTGAAGTAATCGATAGCAAAAATATTTTGTTACAACAACAACAAAAAAAATGTACTTTCAACGATAAATGCATTTGAATTAATAATGAAAACAAAAATTATGTAGCAAACAAGTTTTGTGTTTCGCGGTTTAGTTAAGTAAGCGTTAATGGAGAGACTGAAACGTTCAATTATAAATATTAAAAAAAGAAGTTATATAATCTTCGTAGTATTTCACGATAATTAACATATCGTAACGAACTTTTTTTTACAATAAAGAATGGAAAATTGCCAGAAGGAGGACGACGACGACGCAACACTTGGACTTTGGCAGAGGCAACGATTTCGTGGTCAATGATTTCGCGTTTGGAATCCCCCGAAATTACAGGTTTCGCGCCGTTAAGAACGAAAACACTAGTGAATTAATGTCGAGGGGCAAGGCAAAAAAAAATTAATTGGTAAGCGGATTTTTTTTAAAGGTCTTCGCTTGTGTTCATTACGCAAGACCTCGAAGCCAAGAAGATTTTACAAAGTAAAAACAAAACAAAAAATAATGTTCACTATAAGCGAAAATGAGATTTCACATTTGCTGCAGTTCCTCAAGGATTCGTTTTGTTTTGTTTCTTGCTTAGATCGTGGTGGCCTTTCGCGAATGTCAAAATTTTTGATTCGAACATGTTTCTTTTTTGTTGTTCTGTATATATATATATATATATATATATATATCTCTCTCTCTCTGCAATAGAGCACATTTTACGTTCATTTAATAATCACTCGGACTGGACGTGATCTTTTTCTTCAATAACACTGCAATCTCTATCAACATATTATTGCGATCACGGTAATTGCACTCATCTATTTATGTATGCCTTTGTTTACACAATTGAAACGCAGTTAGTTAGGGTTTTGTTTACTGGAAAACAAATATATCTAGAAATGTTATCTAGTAGGCGGTTTTCGACGATTCAAAACACCCGTATCTAAAATAGACAACATCATTATTTGTATGCCAAAATCAATTGATTAAATATTATCATGAAATTTTCCGTTTTCAACTTTATTTCAAGTCAAGTTGCTTAACTTTAAGTTCTTGTATATTATATTCCCGATGAAAATGTAATTAATTTAGTTATCCTTGATTACCATTTCAAGCGTTTAAAAACAAATTTTATTATTTTCTGTTTTACACACTTTTCCACTTACACTGTTTGATAACATATTATTATTGGATTTCCCGAAGAAAGTAGTATATTAAATACTTTTATTGTGACTTGTGCGGTCACTTTGTTGGAACGTGAAATGACAGCTGCCATCTTGTGTCAAAGCATTATATAAAAAAAATGTTATAAACAATTGGGGCGCAATACAACTACAACCAAATATTAGTTATCCTTCATTTCCATTTAAAAATAAATCCTGCAATTTTCTGTTTTACACACTTCTGCACTTACACTGTTCGATAATCTATTATCATTGGATTTCCCAAAGAAAGTTGTATGTTAAATGCGCTTACAGATACTATTGAGCAGCGTTTCTCAATCTACGGTTTAAATGTTTGATGATTCGCGAAATGACAGCTGTCACCTTGTGTCAAAGCTTTAAATTCATATGTTATAGACAATTTGTGCAATTGTCACCTTGTGTCAAAGCATTCAAAATTGGTGCAATTACAAACTAATAGGTTGGAACGTGAAATGACAACTGTCACCTTGTCAAAGCGTTAAAAATCATATGTTATAGACAATTTGTGCAATTGTCACCTTGTATCAAAGCATTCAAAATTGGTGTAATTACAAACAAATAGGTTGGAACGTGAAATGACAGCTGTCACCTTGTGTCAAAACGTTAAAAATCATATGTTATGAACAATTGGATCGCTGAAAAACAACAAACAAATATGTGGGGTCGTGAAATGACAGCTGTCATTTGTGTCGAAGCTGCAACTACCATAAAATATGTTGAATTGCGAGGCGGAAAGGTTGAGAAACGCTGCTGTAGAGTCAAGAAAATGTATACAATGATTGTGTTCATTAAAGTTTCAATCAAATCTAAAATATTTTGACTTGCAAATCCCTGAATAGTCCGTACTCTTATTGTATTCGAAACAATTTCTTTTTTTTTTCTTGTGTTAATAAACAGATTTACATTTGTGTGTATACTAACATACGTATACTATACGTACGTATTAGAATTTGCAATTTACAAAATTTGATATGAAAATAGTTAAGTTATTTTTGGAATAGATATGTAGATATGATGACACATGTAATTGATAAAATTAAAATAATGAAAAAAAATATTAGATAATAATATTTTTTTTTTAATTAAATAGTATAGATTTAGATTATAGCTTTACAAATAACTCATAAAATTATGAAAAAAAAAATTGTAATAATTATTTTGTTTTGTATATTCGATTGTTTTCGTACTATATTTTAATATCATGGATAGATAGATTTATAATATTAAAAAAAAATTGAAACGTAAAATTGGTTATGCGTTTCGTAATTATTTAATATATTTTTTTTTACAACCATTATATAAAACGCGCAATTCGCTAGATTCGACTTGTGTGTAAATAATAAAAAAAAAATAAAAAATATATGCTAGAAAATGTGTCGTCCTTTTTTTCTCCTTTCGTATGTGTGCGTTTTGTTTTTCGATGTCTCTGCGTGTATTTTATAGAGCCTCAAGGTAAACCGGCAAAAAAATTGTGACGTTAATTAATTATCGCCGTCCGTGCAAGTTTCTATTTTTACTTACAAACACAAATTTGTGTCAATAAAATAATATGTGTTAAACTCTTCTACTTTTCGTATTTCCAAAATCTTAACGTTAATAATTAATACAATAAGTCGGTTTTCCTAATTTACAGATTCCTATAATTTCTATTTTTTTGGTTACCATAACAATAAACAAAAGCAGGTCGAAATATCGAATACACGTTAAGGTGAACGTCCGTATGCTTTTACAATTATATTAATTATTCAAATAATTGAATAACGCAAAAAAAAACTTTGCATGAAAGCTGACGTCGATGCGGATTGAATTACCATCATTTTCGCGTACAATTGTCATGAATTTATTCCTTACTTTAAATAATTTCCTCGAAATTCTAACTAATTCGCTTCGTTTTTTACTTTTCCGGGTACTTCGATTATTCATCGAAGGAAATGAAAATAAAACTCGTAAACCGCAAGAAAACATATTTAATTGGATTAAATGTGAACGCTTAAATATGCAAACTGCATCTTCTACCTGCATTGTTACGTCAATACGGACTTAATTATTAATTAATTAAGTTGATTCCGTTCGGCATTCAGCGACAGGACACGTCAGATGGAAATAAATTAATCATTCAGATCTCGTCTATTCTCATCATCAGCATTATGCATTCAATGAATGAAAAGAAAATAATCATCTTTCGTATGGTTACAATTTACAATCTCTCTACTGAAATAACGTTTAAAATATTCTCGATCCGTTCGACCTTCTATAATAATTCCGGAATATTATGCGAGTGCACAATTACAAAATTTTATAAACGATTGGAAAGTTATCGACGGAATGCCGATGTTTATGCGAAAATGCATTCGGGACTTACGAAAAAAAAAAAACTTATGCGCGAAAATCAAATATTTACATTGGAAACTCAAGTTCGAATCTAAACATTCGCTTTTTACGTAAGGATGGATTGTGAAAATAAATTTTTGAACGATTATTTTTGTATGTTGTATTTACTCTCGTTTCGCCGGGGTTGTGAAGAACGAAGTTACGACACACGCACGCACTCGCTTCCTACTTTGATAAATCCATGATGATTCACTTCTCTGTTATCGAGTTTGGATGATGATTAGTGTAATTATTATTATTATTATTCAATGCCGGCCAGTAATTAGAACTGCATTATTCACATGCGCTTCGAAGAAATGTGAAAGAAAGACGAATCAGGAAATTACAAAATGCGTGTGATTAATAATAATCTTATTATTTCCAACGTTCTAATAACAAATTTAATGAAAAAAAAAAGTAATTACACAATAGTCAGCAAAATACTTCAAGATTTTTTTTTTATCTAAGTAACAGAAATTTAGATTATTATTTGTTTTATATGAAAAACGTAACGATTAATGAAAAAACAAATTTTTTTTTTGGTATGAATATTGATTTCAGCAATTAAAATTATTACGTAGGATGAGTTAGATTCTATTTTTCAAGCGAACTATATACATTTTATATTTAGTCATACTAAATAATTGCTTCGGCATTGGAAATTATTTGTTGGCTAATTATGAATTAGAATAATTATAATAAAAAAAAATCGCGGCAAAGCTATGCTTATTTTTGTTTTTTGTTTTTTTAATGGTTGTCAACATGATTTTTAAAACACTATTAACAGTGGCAGTTTAAATATTTGACAGTAGGTTTTATTTACTCTTTTGTTTTGTTGAAATAACAAGAATGTGTGTGTGTTTTTTTTTGTGTGGTGGTAGTCAATAAACATGTGTAATATTTGGGTGGAATTTATGTACAAAATAAGTTAAGTTCAATAAATAAATGCAGTAGTTGGAATTGATGTATTTTAATAGATTCATGTAGATTTGATTGTATCGTGTGTTTGCCAGGAAGCCGTTCGAACAATGCATAATAAAAGTCATTCATACCTTCGAATAATCCCATGTTAAAAGTTGGACAACGCGGTGTCAAAGGTGTACAAAGAAGATCGATCACGTGTTTGTTATAGGGAAGATACTCTCTGGTTTTAACTGTGGAGAATCATCATCATCATCATCGTCACTAAATCGTTAGAGTTAGTTAGGCACAGTGGCGTATCAACTGAAGTCTTGTCTATGAATTGACATCGAACACTACTGTCGTCTTGAGGAGGATCCAGTCTCTCGGGTGGTTCACCAGTCCATAGTCCAGGTCGTTATCGCATCGGAGCGCAGCGGCGTATCTATACCACTCATTCATGCACACTACAGTAGACACACATCGAGCGATGATCGTCGTCGTCATATGATGAAGGCAACAACAACAAACACCAGCAGCAGCAGCAGCAGCAACCGGAATACCAGATTGTCTAGGTTCGCTGTGATCGAGGCTGCTGCTCAGGTAGAGGTGGTGGAGCGCGCGACATGTGAGAGAAGGCCGCTCACGGGACTGTCAACCACTATTTATAAAAAACAAAAAAACAGTATTCTGCCGAGTCACTTCAACAACCTGCTCAGCGACGACGGCGAATATCCACGAACGCCGCATGAACACCCAAATGGAAGAAATTATTGGTTTCGTTCCATTCGGTTATCTAACATTCGCGCCATCGTTTCGATATCAAACTTACTTGATGGCCGATGCCTGACGTAAACAACGCGCTCGCCCAATCCCAGCGCACGAACACTCGAATTACGATCTCTCAACTTAATTACGGCGACAACACTTTCTTGCTGTTATTATCAATTCAACATGTTTATTTTCCTCCAAACCGTTGCATCCGTACATCAACATTAAGACAACTTGTTTTGTACACTCCGATATTTCCATAATTGATGGAAGTTTTACCACTTTGTATTTTTTATGTACATTAGCTACATATTTGTTCATCACTTCCACCCTTTGACACAAGGTGACAACTATCATTTCATAACCCAACATATTTGATTCCTAAGATTATTTAACCAGTTCCTCGCTTTGACACTAGCTGACAGCTGTCATTTCGTGACTTTCCTAATTTCTACGAGCATTTCACAAGGTGACAACTGTCATACATTTAACGCTGTCGTAGACTTTTTTTTTTAACAGACAATATCTTAAAAAAGTATCTTGTATCTTGACATTTGACAACTGTATTGGCGGTTGTAAATAAAAAGAAATATATTTTAAGAAAAACTTAATAATATATGTAAATGTTAGGAAATCTAGTAAAATAAACTAATTATTTATCATATTTTTATCATTTTTTTTATACATAAATTTAATGTATAGTATAAAAAAAAATTAAAATTTATACGTGTACATAAATATTATTTATACAGGTAATAAGTACATTTGAATGGCAAATTGAAAAGATTAAATATGAATGTGTTTTTTTTTTACAAAACTGGTCCCCCCAAGGTTTATTGTCTTTTGCTAAAAGCAGTCTAACCAGAATTCTTGCGATTTTCAAACATTTCGAGACGCACGTGCCGGAAGGTGTTTTGTTGCTTAACATGAAATGAATATTTACCGAATTCCAAATTACATCAGACAAACGATAAAAGATAGAACAGAAAGTGTGTGTGAGAGAGATAAATCTGTGGGTGTCCGATATTCTTTATGATGGAAAATTTGTCTGAGCTTATTTCATCATCAAAATATTCAAATATTAGTAGTATAACAGTTAAGTAATCAATAGTTCAATGATATTTAATAAAAAAAGAAGCTATAATTTTTAGAATTTTTAAATTTTTTATTGTTTATGTTACGTTAAAATATACAATCTTTAAATAAAGAAGTAAATATGTTGTTGTTGTTGTTGAAATAATTAATTAAAAAATGAGATTGTTTCGACGTTTTTGTCGCTCTCAAAATAAACCTTTTTAAATTAATCCCAAAGATAGAGGAAAGCTTGTTTCTTCTAATAATACAAGAATTGTCTATTCAAAATAGTCGCCAATTAATGTGAAACGTCGCGTGAGTATTGTTTTTTTTTTGTAATATTAACTTGGTAAAGTACTTAGGAAAGAATTTGAACATTTGTCTTGATGTAAAATAAAAAGTATTAAACGAAAACAACTATTTCCAAGAAGCGTTACGTGATTCCACATGCAAATGGTCTACTTCTTTATACACAAACTAAATGCGAAACAAAACAGAGATATTAATTAAACTCTTACATAAAACGCATGCATCTATAGTCACCACATTTCCGGGAACAGATTAAACTCATGTAATGACAATATATTTGCGTTGAAATTGTTTAACTTCTTGGTGGTAATCCAAGCGTAATTTTGTTCCAAGAGAATTTATTTTCGCATAAAGAAAAAAAAATGTGCATAAAATATATTTTTATATAAAAATAATCCTTGGCGCATTCGGCCAATGTTAGGGTAGGTCAGACGTGGACGGATGTATTTTTAAGTTTTCGCAATAAAAAAAAATAATATAAATTGTCGAGGAGACGAAAACAACGAGTTTTCTCTACAAAAATTTTAAGATTTGTCTCAAAAATATATATATCGAATATTAAGAAAAGGACATGAAAGTCGTGTACATTTAGATCAATATGATTTTTAAATAATGATCCCATAACGTCAGTTTAAGTCAACAAAAAAAAATTGACACAAATCAAAGTTGGCCACAGTCTTGTGTTTCAGTTATTTTTCATAACAAGTGATTAAATTTAACTACATTTACTTCGATACAATAATTGTTTTGTTAAATTACTTAGAAATATAAATATATATACCTTTCAAATTGTCGTTAGCAAAATCCATGATTGTTTTTCTCTTCCCTTGTCGTTTGCTTCTTCAGCTGTAGTAGCAGTAATACGCGATTCACCACGCTCTCAAAACACTGAAGACTACAAACTTACGATAATTTTCTATAGTATTATGGTTTTGTGCTACTAATAAAGAAAAGAAAGCAAAACGATGATTAAATCCGATCGGATTCGGACTTTGCACCATCTTTTTCTCGCAATGGGAATCCATATTCTCTTCATATTCATGTTCTCGTCGATTTCGCATCTCGACACAACGGCAGGGTCATTAACTTGTACATAATACATTGATATTTTCGATTTCAATTTGTTCTTTTCTGCTGCAATATTTTTATCTTATCTATGTACTCGCAGGGGACTAAAATTAAGTTTTACACTTCGATTCGATATAGATTTTTTTTTGTCGTTGCTTGCTTGATGATTACGCAATCGCCGGGCCAGACACCTACGATCGGTATCGATAGCCGAAGGCCGCTCGATTGCAAAAAATAGCATCGGATCGATACGTATCAATCAGACACAATGACATAATTTGGCGATCGGAAATTAGATAATCGGAGAATCGGCAATTCATACTAATTTTCTCGGAAACTACATTAGATAGAATGAATTCAAAAGATGCATAAGAAAGTTGAATAGTTGAGGAATTCAATGTGTATTCAATTAATATTGTGGCTTCATCTAGTTGGCTGTGATTCGCGTTCCAATATGAAGTAATAATGTACAGTGTCTTCAAATTTTAATAATTTTCTCAGAAACTATAGTAGATAGAATAGATTCAAAACATCCATATAAAAGTTGAATTATTATGAAATGTAACGTGTATTCAATTATTACTGTGGTTTCATACAGTTGGATGCAATTTGTTTTCCTAAATGAAGTAATGAAAAATAAACAGTATCTTCACATTTTAGTGATTTTCTCGGAAACTACATTTGATAGAATAAATCTCAAGAGATGCATAAGAAAGTTGAATAGTTGAGGAATTGAATGTGTATTCAATTATTATTGTGGCTTCATACAGTTGGCTGTGATTCGCGTTCCAAAATGAAGAAATAAAAAATGTACAGTGTTTTCACATTTTAATGATTTTCTCAGAAACTATAGTAGATAGAATGGATCCAAAACATGCATATAAAAGTTGAATATTTATGAAATGTAATGTGTATTCAATTATTGCTGTGGTTTCATACAGTTGGTTGCAATTTGCTTTCCAAAATGAAGTAATAAAAAAGGACAGTATCTTCACATTTTAGTGATTTTATCGGAAACTACATTAGATAGAATGGATCCAAAATATGCATATGAAACTTGAATTTTTGTGTAATGCAACTAGTATTTAATTATTGCTGTAGTTTCATCCAGTTGGCTGTAATTCGCTTTTCAGTATAAAGTAATGAAAATAAATAGTGTCTTCACATTTTAATGATTTTGTCAAAAACTACATTAGATAGAATGTATCCAAAACATGCATGTAAAAGTTGAATATTTAGCGAATGTAACGAGTATTCAATTATTGCTATGGTGTCATCCTTTTGGCGTATAATTCTCGTTCAAAAATGAAGTAATGAAAAATTAATACTGTATCTTTACATTTTACTGATTTTCTCGGAAACTTCATTGGATAGAACGGATCCAAAAGATTCATATGAATGTTAAATATTTGGGGTATGCAGCTGTGGTTCCATTTATTATAAATAGAAGCTAGAATTGGAATACTAATGCGCACACAACTATATCTTATCTTAAAACCACAACATAAAATTCCAACTTTTAATTACCGAATTACGCTTCTTAACGCTCATTAAAACCAATTTCCGTTTAATTAGTCAACATGAAATTAAAACCAAATTATACTTTTAACAGTTAGTAACAAACTGTTTCATACACACACACACATGCCATTAATTTGCAATGGAAAAGTTCGTTTTCGTTTCACATTTATTATTTCGTTATTCCTTCACCTGATCTACAAAATAATCAATTTAACCTTTTTCTAATAACATAAAATTTAAATTACCATTAATTATTTGTTTTTCTTTGCATTTTCTAGTATTTATGAGTAGACACAACAAGCGGTTTGCTAAGAAAATACATTAATTGAAACGTCCTTCTCCCACAAACAGTATAAAAAATTTGTTGTAAAAGTTTCATTTTTTTTTAAATGAAAACTTAAATATATATCGATGAAAACTCAGTTTTCTTTTCTGATTTAATATTTATTGATCCAAAGACCTTCAGTTTAACAACTATGAAAATATTTATATTTGATACATAATTATTATAATTTTAATTAATGAAATCAATGTGAAAATGTTTGTTTGTCCTAGGTAAATAGGCATGATGATGTCAAGGTGTCGCAGATTCTCGGTAAACAAATAATTTATTGGAACTATTAAATATAATGATGGAAATTAGAGGAAAGCAACAAAAAAAAAGTAGTGGCATTTGCCGCTATTGACGGAGACACACAACTCAGTTTATAATTGCTGCTGCAATTAATGTTTCCTTCAATTGCTTTAATTATTTGACAGTATATTTGCATTTTTCTCTCATATTCTGTAAAAATTGAATGTTTTTCTGTTATTTCTAACTTTAATTTTGATTCACATTATAAGGAATAGTCCATAATTAACGCTCGAAACGTGTCTTCACATTTTACTGATTTTCTCAAAAACTATAATAGATAGATT